TTATAGCCCATTTTCCTATACTCCTTGAATAATAGCCTATATTGAATGTACAATAACCAGAATGCTCAAATCTCTCTTAGAGAGGATATGGGCAAATAGTAAACCAACTACACATCTTTTGGTTGCGTCTAGTGTTGGAGTTGTATTAAATCCTAAATCATAGCAAATACATTTCAAGTATCGTTTAATGCCATTAGAAAGAATGCATATGTAGCTGGTGGAAACTCTGGGCACTAGATGTTTTGTGGACCAAGGGTTTGGTGGGATTCAAGCAAGAATTAGGCATTGATATGTATAGTGCAACAGTGAGAATATCCACAGTTGCATTAGATAGGATTGAAATATATTAGAAGGCATACGAACCCTTGTTCTGCATGACAGAAGACATCCTCTAGCTCAAAGATCATTGTAAAGATATCATTCCATAACTGACCACCTTGTGTTTTCTTGTACTTTTCCTGAAACATCTGGTTCTTGGCACTGTGAGTCAAGATACTGGACTAGATGAATCTATGTCTGATCCAGTATGGCAATTTTAGTGTCCCTATGTTCTAATCAAAAGCCTTTTAATTACGTTTTAGGCGACATTCCAATAGAACTCACTCGTTCTAAAGAATGATATATATTCTGAATACTAACAATAGCAAATAAAATATATATCAATTGGAGTCAGAGACAATCTTTCTTTAATTGTCTCAGTTGAAATGGAATATATGATGAAATTGTTATTGTACTCTGATGTTTTGTCTCAAGCCTTCTTAGAAGTGGTCCAGCAGCTTGTTTGGCCCCATGAATTGCAGGATAATCCTTGCCTCTTGAGCGTGATCTAAATCTCAGTAAAGCTAATGGAAAGACACAGTCGGCTTTGAACTAGGCCCTGTGAAGAGAAATTGTACAAGAAGATATTTTCCATGCAATATATTATTAATAAACAAATAAAAACAATTAAGTGCGTTTCAGTGAAGTCCAGCAATATTATGCTCTTTACAAAAACTGCATGTTTTAAAAAGAATCCCCAAAATTAGACTGTCGTTGACCAGTTGCAGAATTCAGTCAGTTCCGCACCACTCATAAATCCTCCTTGCTCACTAGTTACATTGCCACCCAACCTTAACTTTGTCCTTAACATTTGAAAAAATCCATGCAGAAGGAGATTACTGGAAATTGATCTCTTGAATAGAAAATGGAATTTGATCATCTTCTAGCAATTTGTTATTTTGACTTTTGTGTGTACTTGCAAGATTAACACTGGGTGGGCAGTGTAAATCAGATAGGTGACACTGGACAGTGAAGCCTTACAGGAGGATCGTTAGCCATTCATTTCTAGACAGTCTAAGGTTTTTTGAAAGGTGTAGGATTTTTGTAAAGAAAGTTGAGTATAGCTGGACTCCACTGAAACACATTTTCATTCTTAATTCTTTTTTTAGCAAAATATGTGATGTAGGAATTTTCGTGCTTTTTAATGAGTGCCAAAAATTTAAAAATGGGCTGGCATATAAGGTTCATGGCAGTCCTGCTCTCACACATCTTATGTGTCCTAACAAAGCAAGACGTCTCTCCTGCAGCAGGACTAAAAGACACTTCTCCTCAGCAAGGCCATGAAAGCAAAACAAATGTGGTGTTTCTAGGCCAAGCCATTTTTTAGATATGATGAGCCAAAACAAGTTAAAAATATTTTTAAAAGGTCCATTTTCAAAACATTATAATTTAAAAGCTCTTTTTCTGATTTTTACCTTGCTTCCCAGAAAAGCTCTATTCTGGAACAAAATCAAGTGTGCAAAATTTCAGGAAGTTGAGGAGTTAGTGAATTGGGTCACCTGCTTCATTTTTAACTAGTGCCATTCCTTAGTAAATTCTAATTGTCATTCAGAATTGTTCTATACTTGTTATGGAAAATATTATTCATACAAATACCAAATGCTGATTGTTTTGCATGGATTGGAATTACATTATTGCACTTTTTCTTTCTAAAGAAAAATGTCAGTAAATAAGAAGCTTTATAAAAAGCCATTCTGTGTTTATAAATGTAAATATAGAACTACACCCCTTTCCTACCATCAGAAATCCTCAACTCATCTCCATCTTCTTTTTCTTGCCTCCGGCCATATCTCCCAATTTAGGCTCATCCTTTACATCCAACCTCTCCTCTTCTGTGCTCTCCCGGCCCACATATTCTTCCTTTCTCAGGGTTCCCCCATGCAGCTTCCCACTTCCAGCTGGTGAGATACTTTTCTATTCATTCTTCAAATCCTTGGTTGGAAAGGATGTGGTAGTAGAACTAAAGAATGATCTGAGTATTTGTGGGTATGTCTCTGCAGCAAAGAAAAATCTGCAACCAGCCCATGCCAGTCGACTCAGGCTCATGGGGTAGGAGGGTCCGACAGCTAGGGCTCCAGACTGAGCCTGGAAGTCTATACAGCAATTAAACAGCCTCACAGCCTGAGCCTTGCGGGCCCGAGTCAGTTGGCACAGGCCAATCACGGGTGTCTAGTTGCTGTGTACGCATACGGGGCCCTCCACTCTGTGGATCAGTACTTGAATATCACGCTGACATTGGAGTGGCTGACCTGGAGAAGTACCCCACATGCTGTCTGTCAAGAACTACTTAATCTAGGGCTCCATTGTCTGCTATGTCCAGCTGCAGGCAGATGAGGTTGATACCCAGCTGCTCCAGGATGCTGCCCGCAAGGAGGCCATGAAGCAGAAGCAGTGATATTCTTATTTCAGGATTTACTCTTGCCAACCTTTTAGCTATCCCCCACCCTGTTTCATTTAATCTGCTCCCTCTGCTGCAGCTCCTAAAGACTCAACCCTGATCCACAACCTTTTAGCTCCCACTCCGTGATCTCCTTAGACGTGTTGAAGCCACGAGGCTTTGACTTTACATTTGTCATTGTCTTCTCCTTGTCTCATTTCCCACAATTTGATAGCTGCCTCAGTATTGTTGGGTTCCTCTTCATTCCTTGCCGCTATTTCCAGCCTCCTCCTCTTCCTGCTTTCCCCCGCCTCTGAAATCCACTGTATCTGGCTCTTCTCCCATCTGGCCCCCCCCCCCCAGGTGGCTCTATCTACCATCCCTAAGTCTCTTTTCTCCTGTTTCCCTGACTTTGATCACTGCCTCATTTTCCATCTCATCTTGGGTGACTTTGGTTTGTTTTCAGGTGAGAGAGAGAAACCAACAGTTAAATCAGATTTTTTTTTTCAAATTTGGCTGGGAAAGACAGAGAAATTTACTCCCAGGCTAAACTCAAATGTGCTGTATTTCAGTTTGCATGGGACTTTTACCCTCATGTAAAAATAAACAATCAAAAGTAGCACTGTTGTTCTAAATGGCAGAGACAGAGGGGATAAAAGATGCACAACTACTATTGGATCTATTGGTGCATGGGTATTCTTGGATGTCAGAGCACAAAGGACAAATTGTACAGAATGAAAATTATGAACCAATCACTTACTGTTTGACAGCCATCCTGCAGTCTTATACAGTCATAAGGTGGAGACACTATGTCTGTGACATAAATGTACTGTTTCAGTTGTATTAGGGACATTCTTGCAATGGAAAAAACTATTTAATGAATGAAAGGTCAAAGTGCTTATCTTTGAAAGGTCAAAGAAATGCTTATCTAGATGTCTTTTATTAATTCTATAAAAAGGGACAATTCATCAGCAACATGGCCTAAACAGTTAACTTTAACACAATGAAAAAGGTTTTGTGACATATACCAGTGTCTTTGTTAATTGAGTTTCTTTTGGGGTTATGAATGACACCTTATGTCTAGAAAAATCCTTGAGCAATGTAGCATCTTAATAAAATGTACTTCAACTCCCAAAGTCAAAGCAAACCTCAGGGGATGAACCACAACAAAGAAAGAGTTGTACAAAATCCCCCTAAACTGAAAATGAAGAATTTTTCACAGCCCAAATATTCATTTTAATACAATGCTTGATGGGAATAGCACATTTGAAACTATACACATGCATGAATGCAGATTATATCTTCATTAGAGGTTGAAAGTGGGTGGAACTATGATTATAGGTGGGTGGGTTTATCACGATGGCTCTATGAACAATAACTTAATTGAAAAACTTGACTCTACGTTCATCCAATCAGGGAACAGAAATAATAGCATAAGATCTATGTGTCCAATCAGAATTCACAAACACAGCTTGAATTTTGGGTTTTGAATATCCAGTACAACAAACAGCTCAGGATCAAATGGAGCACCTTGGTCCATACTGTGCCATCAACTGTTAGGCAGAACTCACCATTGATTTCAAAGAGGAGTTTTAATCTAAAAACGTATGGCACAATATGGCTTAATGAGAACAAATTGACACAAAAGAGTACATGAGTAATTTATTTTGAACCTCTTAGAGAAACAAGGTGGAGGTAAAAATACAATGAACCCATTCTGAATCCCCTAGAAAACTTCAGAAGATGTGAAAGGTAAATACAGTATTACATCATCTATAATTTTTTTCTTTAGTAATAGGTATATTTTAAAAAGTAAGAAATAGTTTTCTAAGGTGAACTAGGCAGTATATTTGTTTTCTTTTAGTTTTGCAGCTGCAAGAGAAAGTTTTGTTCATTTTCTGTCAATTCTAGGAGACAGGGATGATGGCTTCACAGAAGGGCCTATAAAGGGAGGAAGTGTAGCCAAGTGTAGAGCACTAGATTGATAGTCATGAGATGGAAATTGTATTCTTGGCTCTGCTATTGACCTGTTCTGAGATACTGGGCAAGTCATTTAGTCCATTTTTAAAAACTTGGGATCCTACAATTAGAGTCTTAAATTTATATTAACTTCAATGGGAGGTGCAGATGCACAGCACCTCTTAAAATCAGACAACTAGATATAGGTTCTACCTTTAAGTTAAAGACTCTACCTTTAGACCAACATTTTCAAATGTATGTGCTTAAACTTCTGTGCTTCCATTTATTCATATGTAAATGGAGCATAATAACTCTTGCTTACCTGTGTAAGACCTACACGTTAAAAACACCGACTGAGTGCTAATTAAAAAAAATTATAATAAAAAATTAAAAACAGAAGACTGTCAGAAAATGAACAAATAAAAATGTGATCTTTAAAAATCTAAGTAGAAAATAAATGCACAATAGATCTATGTAAATAAAATGTGCAAAAACATATATAGATATTTATTACTACCTTTAAAATTCTTTCATAGTTATTACAAATTTTGGGTTCTATCTTGCTATCAGTTGTTATGCAGAAATCCCATTAGCTTTTGTGGGAGTTCCACATGTGACATGCTGGCAAGACATGGCCCTAAGAAAATTAAGCAAATTTTCCACACCTGCAAAGTTGCCTGTGTATTATACATCATGTGCAGATCATCAGCTAGTGTAAATTGACTCCAATGGAGCAACACTGAAGCTGAAGCTCCTGCAATGCCTTTGAGAAATGTTCTTTTGAAAACATAGACAGATAAATGAACACTGCATACCATTTCAGTCTTCCCTGCACCTTGCAGTAGAAAGTAAGTGGAACATATAGGAAAACTACTTGGTTTGAAAACTTATAACTGAAATATCATGGATTTAAAGAGATGCAGTCTGGTATATCCTTCAATGATTCAACACACATTTTCTCATGACAATGATTCTTCTTCATATACTGAAGTTTTCAGTTAATGAAAACTGTTAGGTTTCTTTACTTTCTCTTACTGTCACTAATGTTATCTTTCTGTAACAGTAAACAAAAAACAGAGGCACAAGTCTCTTTTGCAGTTTTATTTCAAGCTGTATGGAGATTACAAGGCCAAGTTTAGAAGTGAATCTAAGGAAGTTTAAATAGGTGTAATTTATGAACTGGTGAGGCAAGCAGTATGTGTAAGTTACATCAATTTAGCTTTTCATGAGAGCATCAGCTCCTGAGGCCAGTGACCGGTTGTGATGTTAATAGTTCATATATATTATATATTTGATGATAATTAGGTGCTGAACTCTGAAACCACTTACTCATGCCAGTAGCCCTTCCTACAATCCTAATGCTGGAACTATTCATGTAAGGGTTTGCTGGATCAGATCCCTATATCAGGATAAAATATTAATACAGTGTGAATGAAGAATCAAATACTTCCTTATTCTTAAATGAGATTATAGTTTTTATTAGTAGCATTAACACGGATAGTTATTTATAACATATCACACTAAGTTGTGGCATCACACTGTATATGTAAAATGTTCTCATCACATTCACATTTGGTCACATGACAGCTGTTCAGATTATTCTGCACACGTCTGGAAAAAACTTTAAAACATTGATATGGAGCCAAAATATGCAGGGAGACAAGCAAATTGCCAACTGTAGCTTTTTTTGCCAGCAGCTTCCTTAGTCAAGCAAATCAAGCACCACTATATCAGCACTAGAATCAGACAGTTTGAGATTCTGCTGCCATTTTAAAACTTTCCCTAAGCAATGACACTGTAGTGGAAAATCCCCAGCTCAGAGGTGGTGATAGAGGAAAAGTAATCATTTACCTGTCACCCTGTATACTTGTAACCAGAATAAGCTTTCCAAGTACACAAGGCTTCCATTAGAAAATTCACATGTGAAAAGGCTCAGAAAAGTACAAAGTCACACAAGAGGCTTAAAAATGAGACTGTATGTTTTTTTTATCAAGCCCTGTAGCTCCAAATGACTGCCCTCACATCACTTTGCCACATCAACAGCCCTTGTTAGCACCAACACCCATTTCCCTATGTGGAGCAGCAGAAAGGAGGGCTCACCATATGATTCACCCTCTCTCTGCCCTCTGCATGAATGGTATCAGGCCCTCCATGGCAGTCTGGACACACAGGGAAAGGGCTTTGGCCAGGCAGCATGGGGTGAGGTCAGGGCATAGCTAGCTGCTCCATAGTCCTGTGGCTACGTGGCATAAACACCATGTTAAAAGAGTTGCATGCTGTATAGAACAGCATTAAGTTCCTTGCTGCACCCTGTGACCCTTCCCCCACTGAGGGTCACAGAGCACAGCTGTGTCCTGGAAGCTAAGAGCAGCATGGCCCTGCCTCTAGCTATGTTACCAGTGCTTGGGTTGTTTTAGAGGAGTACAGTGGGAGAGTCTCTGCAGGCATCTGGTCAGATACTGAAGAGCATATGTGAAGGTTTCCAGTGGATCCCTTCTCAAAGCTTTTTTCAGGCTGCAGACTGCCCCTGCCCTACTGCTTCTGGTCCTGCTGTGAAAGTGGTAGTATGCCTTCCACACAATGACTGTTTTAGAGTTGCATAATTTATTGGTTAGTTTCCTCTCTTCCATACACGTTCACATGGGAGTGGGAGATAGAGCCCTTATATCCAGGAATGAAGCCACAGATTTCGTTCCTGGGTATACAGTTCCAAACGGTACATAACATAAAAGCTCATCTGCTTAACAACATAGATCATTGTGAACTCATCACTCTGGTGGTCTGCTCTTTACACTGGCTCCCCATTCAATACAGAGTTCAGTTCAGTGTTTCTGTCGTGATATTCAAAACCTTCCATAGGGTTGGCCCTAACTACCTGAGTGGTTGCTATTCCTGCCATTAGCATGACATCCCGCAACAGCTATGTTCCACTGGAACCATGAAACTGTCAACCAATAGGGGAAGGCTCATGAGTGGAGGAGAATTTTCAAAGGATCTGGATCTAGACTATGAAAGAAGAAATAGGAATGAACATAGGACTCTAAATGCAAAAGCACCTTTCTTTGACTTCAATTCTGTGAGGAAGAACTAGTTTCACTGCAAAATTAACTTGAGTTATAACTTGAGTCTTGTCCACACACAAAAACCATTGATGCTTTAACTAAAGTTGACTGGCCCATCCAGGGTGAATGGCTAAGCTCAAGTTAGCACAACTCATCAGCTGCTCACATGACTACTCTGTATGATACACACAAGTGAGTGATAGTGTGCACACAGCAGCTTGACTCTCACTCAAGCTAGGCTAACTGGAGAGAAGTAACTTGAGTGTAGATAATCTGAGTTAACTCTGCAGTAAACACATACCCATAAATTCTACAAATACTACACCTGCTTTTGCAAGTATCAACAAACAAATAAGCCTATATATTAATCAAATAATTTCTCCTCCAGGCTGGGAAGGAGAAAAGAGAGAGAGAAATTTCTGTTGTTTGGTGGATGCTCACGTGGGGGGACATATAAGACCTAGTTAGAGAGAGAGAGAGAGAACACAATTTTGTTCTTTTAGTCAATATTAATATGGTAGACACAGTGCAACACTTTTTCAAAACATGGTCCCTAATCACATCTGCACAAATATGCATGCACAGTTGCTATATTTGTGCTTGCAAATTCTGTTATTAGGCAAAGAAATACAGCAAATAAGCATGCAAGTATCTGCATTTGAAAAATTTGCATACACATAGTTACAGCTAGGTTAAGGCCAGCTGAAAATCTGGCCCAGTAAGCATGATATTGAGCAGCTGTTTTGCAGTTAAATGTTCTCCAGTATATATTATGCCATTGCCAGTGCACCATGGAAAAGAGGAACAGGTGATCCATGTCAGTAGGTCTGACTGGTTATTAAAGTGATGATTAGTAATTTGCAAGTGATTTATGACATGACAGTTCCTTCAAAGCTTCACATTTCAATCAGTTCAATCACATTAATGGGCATGACTGTTTAATTAACATGCTAAAGATAGGCGTGAATAGTTTAGCTCATCAAAGGCTTCACACCCTTTGCTTGTCACTGTGGTATGTGCCGTGCAGCTGTGTGCCAGAGTCTGTGAGAGGCCAATGTTCAGGTCTAGCTGTTGTCCAAAGCCACTACATTTCTCCATTCCAAGCAACAATTCCACCGTCTGTTTTGGCTTTGTCAAATGTAACCAATGCTTTATCCTCATCTGATGTAGTAACGTCAGCTCACAGGCTCATATCACTCTTTAGGGACTCACGTTCTACAATTAAAAGACCAGCTGTAATCATCAATCACAATTCAAACAGCATTAGCACAGGTGACTGAACTTCTCTCCCAACTTGACAGTAGGCTGTGGATGATTGGACCTTGGATACAGTTTACATGCTCCCAGGTATTTGTTCAGGAATCCCTTTCTTGAAACAACAGTCTTCAGAAGTGCCTTGCCAAATTAACAGGTGTAACAATAAGATCTATGTTTGTATTAGTCGTGTCATAATTAGAACCTTTAATATCTTGTATATTACTGACAAATAACCACTTTGCTTGCTTGGTGTGGTTAGGGGAAACATTTCTAGGGGTTGAAGAGCATTAGAACCACTGTGCCAGAGAGGCTCAGGCAGAGAAAAAACAGAATTATTACAAAAACAATAGGCATTATGGGCTCCATCCTGCCACGCCCTGGGCACTCCTGTGGTGTACTGAGTGCCCTTAACTCCCATTGACTTATGTGAGAATTGAGAGTCATCAGCATCTCAAAGAAGTGTTCAACACCTTACAGGATAGGCTCTAAATCAAGAGATCATAATCACAAGGAACTGCAGGTGCTCAGCATCTCAAGCACATGAGGCTTTAGGTGCATCAGATTGCATGCCCAAAAACGGAGGTACCCAAACTCACTTTTGAAAATTTGGCCTTTGATGGCAATTCTTCCAGAGTTTGTCCATCAAGTGTGATAGCTCAGTTCTTATTGCAAATCCATCTTGAAAAAGAAGATGATACGGAGGGTGTGGGCTCTGGGGTGAGGGTGGGGATGAGGGGTTTGGGATGCAAGAGGGGGCTCCGGGCTGGGGCCGAGGGGTTTGGAGTGTGGGAGGGGGCCAAGGGCTGGGACAGGGAGTTGGGGTGCAGGAGCAGGGGTGGGTGCAGGGTCTGGGAGGGAGTTTGGGTGCGAGAGGGGTATCAGGATTGGGGTAGGGGCTTGGAGTGTGGGCTCAGGGCTGGGGCAGGGAGTTATGGTGGGGGTGTGGGGTCTGGGAGGAAGTCAGGGTGCGGGAGGGGGATCCGGCTGGGCGGCACTTACCTCAGGCAGCTCCCGCTTGGCAGCCCAGCAGTGCCAAAGCAGGCTCCTTGCCTGCCATGGCTCCGTGCAGCTCCTGGAAGCAGCTGGCATGTCCCTGTTGCCCCTAGGCAGAGGCATAGCCAGGCGGCTCTGCGCAGTGCCCGTACCTGCAGTCACTGTCCCGGCAGTTCCCATTGGCCACAGTTACCGGCCAATGGGAGTTGCGGAGCTGCTGCTCTAGGCGGGGGCAGCGTGCGGAGCTTCCTTGGCTGCCCCTGTGCTTGGGGGCTATAGGGACATGCTGGCCACTTCCGGGAGCTGCACGGAGTCAGGGTAGGCAAGGAGCCTGCCTTAGCCCCACTGCGCTGCTGACTGGACTTTTAACGAGCCGGTCAACGGTGCTGACCGGAACCGCCAGGGTCCTTTTTTGACCGGGCATTCCAGTCAAAAAACAGACGCCTGGTAACCCTATCATAGCTATCCAGCAACTATGGGCTTGATGCAGAAATTACTGGGTAAGGTTCTATGGACTGTGTTATGCAGCAGGTCACATTAGATGATCATACTGATCCCATTTGTGAAGCTATGAAACACTTTCTTACCTTTCCCAAGATGGCTGCTGCAACACTATGCCCCTGAAACAAGTCCCAGAATTAAATGCTGTCTTTTAAATTATAACTTTCTACACAAAATGTGTATATGTTGAATTATGCTCGTGCTTGTGTCACAAATACCCTCTCTTCTTGATGTCAAGTATCAGGGGGTAGCCGTGTTAGTCTGTATCTACAAAAACAACAAGGAGTCTGGTGGCACCTTAAAGCCTAACAGATTTATTTGGGCATAAGCTTTCATGATAGTCACTATCATTGAACAAAATAGCTTCAGAGACAGATTTCAAAGAGAAACAGCAGAACTAAAACTCATTTGCAAATTTAA